GGCGGATTTTTGTGAGTTCAAGGCCAGCCTGGTCTACATAGTGAGTTCCAGGACAGCTGGGGTACAGGGAGACCCTGTCTCAAAAAAAACCCCAAAAAAACCCATCTTTAAAAATTACACTTATTTTGTGCATGTGCACACAACAGGAGATTTTTTGTTCAGTGGGGTAGCCGCCCGTGTTCCTGTAAGTATCCTCAGGTAAACTCTAACTTACACTTAGGTGGAAACATTTCTTTGTTTCTGTTGGTGTTGCCCTATTTGGGAGTAAAGAGTTTTCTCAATATGAGCCCTCTGTCCACTGGTGTAGGGGTTGTGTGTAAAGCCCCTGAAGGCCCTGTATGAATGGAAGTGCTGGCTGGCAGCCTTTCTTCTAGGCCAGTTCTTCCCAGTTTAAAGAAAAATTGTCCTTGGTAGATCAGAAATGCATATCAGTTTTATTAAATTGCTGTCTCCAAGAGCACTTATTTATTTATTGATTGATTGATTGGTCTTTTTGAGACAGGGTCTCCCTGTAGCCCCAACTGGCCTGGAACTCACTATGTAGACCAGGCTGTCCTCGAACTCACAGAGATCCGCCCACCTCTTTCTCCCCAGTTCTGGGATTAAAGGCGTGCGCCACCACGCCCGGCAAGAGCACTTTTTAAAATAGGAATTTTTGTATGATGACATTGGAGGTCTGTGGGGAGCCCTTTCCTGATTAGCAGCATTGTGCGTACCAGGAGACGCCCCATAGCAGCTGGAGTCGAACTGAGCCAGACTATGACTTGCCATCTTGACTGGAAGGATGACACGTGTTCTGGAAATGAGTGCACTGGGCCGGCCTGCTGCTTTAGGGAAATCAGCTGATGGGATTTGTTGCCAGTGTCAAAAATTGATATTAAACATTAGAATTTGTAAACTTTATCTGCACTGAGTCAGCAGCTTTTTGGTAATGAAAGTATTTCCCTGATGAGATTTTGTTGTGTGGGTGAGTATGGATTGTTTTTAAATACTAGAGAATGAAATACAATGAAATACAGAATATCTGTATCACTCAGTGAACCAGTATTTTCCAAATGGCCATACGAGCAGCCCAAGTTCATTGACACATCCCAGAGATCACATAGCAAATAACCTTGGAGAGATGCCATAGCGGAGGAAAGAGTGGTGATCTGCTGTGTCACTATTCAAGATGGTCCTTCCTTCTTGTGATCTCTGTGGGTGTGAGCTATGACTTCCTTCATGTGCAGCAACTGAAACTACAGCTGGCAAGAGGCAAATGCAGAACCAGGCAGTCTAGCTGCCACCTGTTGGTTAGACATGGAAGACATTCACAGCAGGGTGCTCTTCTCACTAAACTTTGCGTGTTTTTTTTTTTTTGGTCTTTTTGAGACAGGGTCTCCATGTAGCCCTAGCTGGCCTGGAACTCACTGTGTAGACCAAGCTGGCCTTGAAACTCACAGAGACCTGCCTGCCTCTGCCTCCTGAGTGCTGGGATTAAAGGCATGTGCCACCATGCCCAGCTTCCAAGATTTTTTTTAAATTAGCCTAAGGATATGCAGATGCCTTTGGATCCCTATGGAACTGGAGTTACAGGTGGTTGTGAGCTGCCAGATGTGGGTGCTGGGAGCTGAACTCAGGTCCTCTGTAAAAGCAGTTAA